GTGTGTGTGTGTGAGTGTGTGTGTGTGTGTGTGTGTGTGTGTGTGTGTGTGTGTGTGTGAAATGCTTGTTTGCAGCGCCACCTGCTGGCCCCCCACAGTACAGCACCATCTTCGGCAGCAGACTCTCTTCCAGCTCCACTCCTGCCAGGTAGGAGGAGAGAAAAATCCTTAATCTCGTCAAATCCGCTTGTGTTTATGATGACGTGACGTGACAGGTTGTTAAAGCCGCCTGCGTGTGGAGCCCAGTAAAGGTCACAGTCTGATTGAGCCTCCGTTTTTCTGCTTCTCCCCCCCCACAGTTCCCCCGGTGTCGATGCAGTCTCCAGCTCCCAAACTTTTGCAAGTAGGTACCACGCACGTGAATCGACCCTGTATTTACATTCAGCTCCTCTCGAACAGCCCTGATTAGGATGCATCTGTGTGACTCGAGGCAGTGTTGGTTTGAATAGGCAGGAATGTTCCCTGTTAACCCCACACACTGAATTATGTCCCCCGTCTCTCGTCCCTGACTCTGTCCCCGTGTGTGTGTCTCTCAGATTTCCCCAACCCATTCAGCTCCAGCTCCGGCTCCGGCTCCGCTTCCCAGCAGCCTGTTGCCCTCTCCCCCAGTAACCCCTTCAGCAACGCCTCAGGAGGTGAGACCCGTGTTCACGCAGACGTTTCCCTCTGCTGCGTCCTGCTGCTGAGGGGTGTCAAGATAAGAAAACATCAGGACATCACTTTAGACGTACATTTGTTTCATAATCAAAACATTTCCTATCAGTTTGTTTCGAGTTTCTGGGATTGATTTTTTGCAAAATTGACATAATCCAGTTTCTGTATATAGAAAGTCAGATTTTCAATTTGCCGCTCAATGAACAATTTTAGAGGGAAGCTGCTAAAACTTTTTATTGTTAAACAAATAATTGTTTCATGCATTTAAATAACAGTTTAAAGAAAATAAATATGTTCATGTTAAGATTAAAAGCAAGGAAAGATAGGAGTTATAGTGGCAGCGAAGAAGAGTTGTCATTCTTCAATACCACTGTTAAAGGCACGTTATATCA